CGTCGACTACAGCAGCTCTAACGGCGAAGCGTCCGAGCTCTTCGGCCAACGGTTCTGCTCGATCTGCTCCAGACGAATGGTGGGCGTTTCACCTGGACGAACTACGCGGCGGTACGTGTTGGCTGATGTCTCCCTGGTTCTGTATATTCCAGCAGTGGCTCCATCTCCAGTGTGTTGCAGTCGTCGTCCTCCTCATCGGCCACTTGTACGTCTCTGGAGAACAACGTCGACTACAGCGGCGCTGACGTCGGCAGTGCTCCCAGCGCCAACGCTAATGGGTGCTGCAACATCTGCTCCAACAACAACGCCTGCGGTGCGTTCACCTGGACCAACTACAACGGCGGCACTTGCTGGCTCAAGAGCTCCAAGGGCAGCGCCAAGTCCAGCCCCGGCTCTATCTCGAGCTCTGTCCAGAAGTCCAACACTGGCGGCAACACCGGTGGCGGCTGGAAGATGTCGCCCGTCAAGGTCGTCCAAGCCCGTGTCCAGGGTGACGCGCCTGTGTGGCACCCGGAAGTGGGTCTGTGGCTGTCCAAGTTCGGCACCAACGCGGAGCAGAACTACGTCAACAACCTGGACACCGTCAACACGGCGTCCGTTGAAGGCGCGCTCATGTACGTGCAGGCCGAGGGCATCAACGTGAACGAGCAGTCGGTCAAGTGCCGGCGTAAGAACAACATGCAGTACGTCGTCTTCTACGAGATGACCATCGTCCAGCCGACCAACAGCATCAAGTACTACGAGAACCACTCTCCTCCGGAGTACGGTGACTTCGTCGCTATGGACGGTGCCAAGTGCACGAACGCCGGCGCGGATATCCCCAAGAGCTGCAAGGTGTACTACGGACTGGACGGTACCAAGGACATCGGTCCGAACGTCGGGTGCAACCCGCAAGGGTCCGACCCGCGTGCGCCGTACCCGAACAACTACTGGTGCTCGTTCCCCAACTCGTGCGCTCAGAAGTACCGTGCGGACAAGACGAACGAGTGCAGAGCTCAGTACGACGGCGGTCTGTGCCCCATGGGCGTCCAGCCTGATGGCGTCAAGTGCACGTACAACTACAAGATTCTGGGCTACCTGAACATCGACGACCTGGTCGGTATCACGAAGATGGGCTTCCAGACCTACCAGCAGTTCTGCCAGAGCGGCGGTATTGAGTTCAAGGCTAGAAACACTGGCCGTGGCTTCGAGGTCGAGCAGTGCATTGACTTCTGGAAGAACCCGGGAGACCAGAACGCCAACGCTAACCGTGCCGCCCAAATGGTGACCACGTACAACCAACTGATCAGCAGTGGCAGGAGCCCCAACATGAGTCCTCTGCCTTCGGTTGAGAGTATGTCTGCGTCCAACCCCAAGTGCTACCAGAACAGTGCCGTGTGCGCGCGTGCCCAGTTCGGATGCAAGCGCTCGCTCTTCTCGCAGATCTGCTCCGTGTGCTCGGGTCCGGATGCTGGATGTGAGAAGGCTCCGGCTGGCTACTCGTTCCCCAACCTGACGCTGCCCCCTGGAAACTAAGCGTGGCCCAGATGACATCTTCGACGTGCAATTCACACCGAGGCTTCTCGTTTTGCTCATAGGGATTTAAAACTGTGTAGATGCTCCAATGACTGCTATCAAAGCAGTACGTACGTTAAGATCATTTTCTTCCTAAAAGTTGTGTGGATGGATACCTTTCCGGTAAAATCTTTTCTTAGAAAGCCGTGCCTTACTACTGTAGTTCATTAAACAAGTATCATCGAAAAAATACAAGCAGTACGCTGTATCAGAGTACGTCGTACAGCGCTTCGAGAGTGAACACAAAAGAGCAATCCAAAAGCTCGAACACGAAGGGCTGTTAAAACGTTGCTTCTGTTATTAAACAATTGCTACGAATCGAAGAAGAAAAAATGACCGTGTGTCATAAAAAAATCGAAACCTTAACAATGTACATGTACTTCGAAGAACATGTTTTATTAAAAATAATTAGCACAACGACAACTGTAAGCCTTAATTTTGATTTGCCTTCTACCTTTTGTTAAGTGAACCAGAAATTTGATTCCCTTAAAACTTTATCCTCTTCCATCTTTACATGTATTGTAATAATATATCTTACTTTGGCAAAATGAGCCTTGAGCGCTTGACTTTTGCGCCAAACACGGTGGGTGCATATCCAGAATGTTGACTATTCGCGCAAGGTTTGTAGCTTTGCTCAGTAGCCCTACATGTCCAATAACATACTAATTGATAGCGTTTTTATTTGAAAAAATCCAGGGAGGCTGTTGAGGTTAGGGCCCGTCACAGGGACCGCCTCTCCATCGTGCTCTCTATAAACTAATAATGAAGAGACACGGTATTTTTGACTCTAATAAATAATGTACTAAAATGTCTGGAACATTTTAGTACTATGAATGGTAGCGGCAATTCTAGACTATGTTTCTGAATGCCGCATACTAATTTCTTGTTAGTAGCCCGCTACTTTCTTAAACATTAATCTTACTTCTTCTTTTACCGAGTCCACCACATGCTCTTCTTCTTTTACCAAGTCCACCACAAGCGTCTTCTCCTTCTACACTCAAGACTTCCTCTTCACTATGGCCGCCTAATCCTCTCTACCTTTGTCCTCATTCAGTTCTGTACTGCCCTAACAACTCTGCGCAAATCATTCCTTCAACAGGTTATCAGCCCAACGCTTCGCCAGGGTACTAGACGAGCTGAAAGCGGTAAGACGATGCGTTTCCAAGCCCGA